TAAATGAAGAAGGTGAATGTACTTGTTATTTCATAGATTATGGAGTTGTTATTTATTCATATGTTAAAATACACACTATTGTAATGTACTCAAAAAATGTACATTTTTCCTAACTTTTTTTTTCTAAGTAGGTACATATTATTACCTATGTTAATTTGTTTCATTATGATGATAAAACTAATAAATTTGTCAATTTAAAATGCTTGCAATTAGTTTAAAATCATTTTTAACCTATATCATTGTATAAGAAAAACGATTCTGAGTAGAGATGGTATGTCAGTGTAGGTTTAAGACATTTAGACATAATATTATTATATACCTATAGGTACCTATAATAAATTCCAAATTAATCACTTAAAATGACTATAAAAGTAAACTGTGCTTGTGTATTTTTTAGATTTTTGGTAACAGAATAAACTACCTACTTACATTGAATCTTGTTTTAAATTTTCAATCCTTAGCTATAAAAACTGAACATTTTATAATTTATTAATTACAATGATTGATAATTTTCGAGATTTTGATAAATTCTGTCCAAATTTGATCTTTAACTGGTGGAAAAATGTTAACAGAAAGTTGTATACACACTCCTAGTAGCTTTTTCTTGCTGACTGGTCGCTGAAAGAGTGTTTTACCTTTAATAATGGCTGGAAATCATGTGTTATCCATTAGTTCTCTTAGTAGTTTTTTTAAAGACAACATGAAACAATTTAAAAGAGGTGAAATAGCGGATAAAGATGGATACTAACATATAACATTTAATAATACGTGGATGCGACATATACACATTATAACATTAGTTCAACTGACAAAGCTAACAATACCTTGATTTTAGAAGCTCAAGTTACACTTTCAAAGCTCTTAAATTAAGATTTGAAAATTTGGATTTTTTTTACTAAATTATGGTTGTATCACATGGCTTATTGATAAGAGATAACACATTTTCGATGATAACAAAACTTTTACAAAACTTTCCGAAAAATATTTTTGTGGAGACAGAATTTTATTTCCCTTATCTAGCATAAAATTAACCGCTGTTATCAAAAAATAACGCAATTGTTCCAAGTCACCTCCAAGTTCCAAGTCACCCGGGTTGACGGTATTCAAACTTCTTGCCTGTAACGAGTTTTTAATTAATATTATAGGTTAGACCCACCGTCCGGCGCGCACGAGGGCCTGCGTTCGCCGCAGTTGTTGTTTCAGTTGTTTGTGCGTCGGCGGTGTACCACGGACGACGCCCCGGCGCCGCGAGACAGGACCATCAAGTAATTTGAGCCACGCACATCAAAACCACGTTTCAACGCGAAACGAATTCGCCGTGGTTGTCGTTTGTGCGGCGGCGGCGTCGGCGGTGTACCACGGACGACACCCCGGCGCCGTGAGACAGGACCATCAAGTAATTTGAGCCACGCACATCGCAACCACGTTTTGACGCGAAACGAATGCGCGCCGGACGTACAGAGTGCACGGACCGACGGCGACATCAACTTTGACGTACTTCTTGTAATTATACTATTATTTTTTCGCTGGACCTCATGACTCATGTAAGTACAACATAGTTACGTAAATATTATACTCTACCAAAATCATTCAATCAATCAATCAATTACCAAATCACAAATTGTTTTTATCTATGGACATAATTGAATATATATTCAAAGCTATAAGATAATGTAATTTAAATTCAATATATTTTTACAAAGGTCGTCCTAAAAAATATAATCGTCATAGTCATTACTCACCAGGGAAAAATCGGCATATATTCATATCAGCTTTATATCAGGTTTATACCTCAACACTTTTGTTTTATATATGGGACATTTGTTAGATTTTTTCCACAATTTTTTAGCACATGTGTAGCAACAATAAATATGTCCAATTTGCATTCGTTTATACACTCGTCTAGGTATGTACAAGAATTGTAAAAACTAATAAAAAAAAAAAAAAAAATGTCCAATTGCGGCATGAATGTTGTATGGTTTCTCCACACACATGTGGTTTAAACTAAAAAACTTTAAACTAGGTAGGGTAAAACAGTGGAATAGGGCTACAGGCGAAAACCACTTAAAAAAAAACGCACTTATGTGTAACACCTCAAGGGTAGTGTGGAAGATTACACGAAAAATGCACATAATATAGCACATTGTTACCTTAACCACTGTAAGTGAACATTAGCAGTATTTTGTAATTGTTATAGATCGATTCGACCGTTTAATAGGCGTGGAACACCAAAAAACGTTTTGTGGCATTTCATATATTTGTGATTTATATATACTTGGTATTTCATATCTTGGGGATATATTTATTCTTGGGATATATCGTTTTGTGGTATTTCATACCTTGGGGATTAATTATCCAGTATTATTTTGTAATTGTTTTAGATCGATTCGACCGTTTAATAGGCTTATACCTAGAAGGACATACCGTCTCCGCTCAGAATCGTTTTTCTTATACAATGATATTATATCATTGAATTCAAATTTAATACCATCCATTATATTTAATACCATACAATGACCCACTTGTAACCTACTGTACAGCAGAGCGACACCCACTTGCCCACCTTTTTTAAAATTCGTAATATTTCGAAAACCTAAATCATTCAATATAAGTCGTATCTGTATGAAACCTTCGAGGATCGAAGCAGAAGCGTCTTTAGACTAGTTCCCAGTTTTTAAAAGTATTGAAACTTAAATATTAAGGGGGTGAGTGTTGAGTTCAAAATTTGATTTTTTCAAAAATAAAATTGGCGGGAAATTTTCTTTTGCCAATTTCTCAAACTTAAAATCGAGTCGCGGCTTTTTTGAGACAATAAATTTGATCTCGAGGGTTGTCTGCTTCGATCCTTGAAGGTTTTATAACGATACGACTTATTTTGAAGGAGCTAGTAGTTCAAAATATACATCCAATTTTGTGTTGTTAGCTCAAATACATATATTAGAGTGAATTGACCTATTATTTTATAGGTTTTAATATTTTATTCTTATATACCTATCGATTTACATTAATGAATAATGAGCTACATGCAGTGTTGTATAGTATTTGAGTAAAAGTAATTGAGTAAAAGTATTCAAATACTTTTTTCGGTATTGAATACTTTTTTAAATACTTTTTATTTTGAAGTATTTGAATGGTATTTTAAATACTTTTTTTTACTATTTAATACTATTTTATTGAATACTTTTATTTAATTTTTTTTATTCTCTAGGAGACAGCTTATTGTCGACGATGATCGAAAAGATACATCTGTAGTCGGTATCACTATTAGCTTAAGTTAACAAAATATATATGTAAAAAGCTTCTACTTAACGGCTATTATATTTTATAGTTTATAATTATTTAACTATACGAAAATAATGTTAATAATTATTAGTACCTAATCTTATAGGATTTAATTGGTATTGGTATAAAGGATCCAAATCATAGGAAAACATTAAAAGCGGAAATAGACTTATTAAATATATCGGAAAGACTATTAGACTACATTCCTGTAAGTATTGGTTGTTGTACATTTGTGCTTTATATATTTTATTATTTTTGTTGTGAATGAATTTATTTAGGGATCATTAGATGAATTGCTTAGATTACTAGAACTTGAAGAATACAGGTCAGCATTAGAAGCTCAAGGTTATTCCGAAGTTGATTCTGTAACTCGGTTAATATGGGAAGACTTAGAAGATTTTGGCATTGTCAAACTTGGGCATCAAAAAAGAATATTACTAGCAATTAAACAAATGAAGGATATTAAGGCGGGAAAATCATTTGTTCCTCTTCGGCCATATATGATTCAAACTCAGGTGAGTAAAAATTATAAATTTAAAAAAAAATTGATTTGTTTATTTGTATTAATGTAAACATTGCACTGCATTTCCCATTTTTGTTTTTTAATTTGAATAATTTCTCTTAAATTTTTATTTTCTCATTCATTTTTATTTAAACCATATATTGCATTTAAAAGGTCTGCATCGAGTCGCCGCCAAGTTGCATTGTAACACCACAGACTGGTACAGAAAATATTGAACTTGATTCCACTTGATTCCGTCAACAGCTGGCTTGTCAAAATCAACGTCGTAAAGACGTAAACTACACAGCAATTAAGCAATTTCCTAAATTTAAGACAATTCAGATGACATATTTTTTTATTAGATCTCAATATATATATATATAGTTATTTGTGCTTTAAAAAACTTGTAATATCTTCAATAAACAAATTGAACAATGAATTTACTGTAATTATTTAAAAAATTTCCTTTTCTTCATGCTTAATAATAAGAAGTGGTTAAGGCTCCTAGTATATTGTTTCAAAGGCAGATGAAAAATATTAAAAATCGTTAGTCACAGTTTTTTTTTATAAGCATTTAAAGTTCAAAAATTGACAAAATATGGAAAAATCACGAAAATTAGTAAATTATTTTGGGTTAAGAATTCGTAAAAATTTTTATTTTTAAATCTAAGATTAAAGAGTAGATGTTAAGATCAAAAAGTAGATGGTAAAATTATGATATATTTTTAAAATCTACTGTTTTTGTATGTTCAAAAAAGCCTTATCTCCAATCCATATCACTAATCCTTATCAGTTATCACAAATCCTAAACTTTCGTCTTACAACCTTTGCGACTTTTATAATTCATTGTCTCCAAAATCGGTACCCACTCTCAGCGATTCCAACGGGCCCCGATTAATACTTAGAGCTAGTATAAATATAATTTATAGCTATTATATAACTATAAAGCTATTGATTATTTTTTATTACCTATGTGTTATACCGTGTTTATCTCGTTTTTGATGATAAGGTGGTTTATGTGCGTAACATGATAACTGAAGTCTGAACCACAGAGTACAGAAGAACAAAATATTTCATATTTAAGTTGAATTTCGTGAGACGGTCGTGGTAGTTATTTATTATAAATGTCAATCAAAAGGAAATTTAGCGATAGAATTACTTGTAATGGTATGTAAATATTGTTTTAGTTATTGGGTTGTATAATTGTAACTTGTTTATGATTCTGAGGATAGATTTGGACGACGAAAAAGATGTCACATGGGGAGACAAACGAAGCAGATATATTTACAACTTTACTTGTGAGTCTGATTCAAAGACTGATGATTCAGATCCCACAGAGAGTATACATAGTGATCAATCAAAAACTACAGGTAGCTATTACTTTTCATTTTACATTTTTTAGGGAGCTGGGTGGTTAATTATGACATACAATACAAATAAAAATTGCGCAATTTAATTTTATAATTATTATATAAAACTAATTCTTTAATTCTTTTTAAAAAAAATAATCAGTTTCAACATTTCCTTGTTGATTCCTCAAAAACGATTATTCAATATTACTTATTTCTTAGTGCAAGCAATTAGTGAAGCAGATCTCACATCAGACAGAAGTTTTGGAAGCAACCGTGACAGCAATGGTCAAATATATCATACGGAATTCGACGTGGTTAGCACATCATCATCTTGCCATGATATTCAGTCTAGTTCTTCAGATTCCTCAACATTAATAGACTTTAAGGTAAAATGGTCGGCCGGGTACCGGTTATATTCCAGGGAAAAAATTTAGCTTTATACCGGGTACTGTCCAAGTCAACTCTTTTAACGATTCGCCGGGTAAAGAGTACTAGTCGGGTACTAAATTTGATATCGGGTACCCGGTTTGGACTCGTTGGCCTGGTACACGGAAAACCTCTAGCATATTATAATATTATATTCTACTTTTTTTTTTTGTTTTTTAGGTTACCAATAATATTATAAATTGTGATGATACGTATTTACAAGATAACGGACACATTCCTGATGAGACTGACGTAACTACTACAAAAACAGATTTGCCACCACCAGCTCATTTTATAATATGTGTGCAGAAAGAAGAACCCAAATCCATACTTTCAATACTGTTATGTTTGTTTTCGAGTAAGTATTTGCAAACCGATATGATTTTGTCATTAATTTAAATATACTATACATCATCGTCTATCATTATATTTTGGGTTGACCATCTTACAACATCATGATACATTATGTTATGGTAATAAAATATAGTTAACTAGTATATTTATGTTTATGTGTAATACTAATGATAAGGATATATTATTTAATTTTAATATATTTTTTTTCTATTTTATTTCAGTATAGGAAGGAATATTTTGGGACTGTGACTAATTCCAAGAGAAAATGTGTCAAACATTTAAACGTGTCAAAGCCAAAAAAAGAATTCAACAAACTTGACGATTCTCAGAAAGCCTCAGAACAGGGTGTTACAAAATCAATAACAATTATAGAAGACACCATCACTCGAATTAATAAAGATATAAAGCATATTTATAACAGTATCACTGTAATGAAAGAATATAATAATAACATGTGTAACATATGTAACGTAATGCCTAAAAATGGGGTTTTTAACCACCAAAAAATAAGTCACATGTATAGTTGTTATGCATGCGCTAAAAAAATATGGAGGGATTCAAATAGATGTCCTGTCTGCAATGTTAAAATTAAATGTGTGACAAAAGTTATTATTGCCTAGTAATTAAAATAAATTGTAAAATATTAAAAAACTGTAAGTTGATCCTTATTTTTTTCTATGTCATTATTTAACAGTTTTAAACACAATTTTTAAGTGAGTTATGGGTATGTAAAGTATTCATATTCTAAAATGTTCATAACTCACTTAAAAACTAAAATATCGTAAAAAACCAACGAGAGAACTCAGATAATGTTGAAAAGTAACTTCTTCACGAAAAATATTATTTAAACTTTAGTTACCTATATAATATAATATGCCTATACGATTTACACATAAGATTAATACTCAAGACATATTTATTCTGTATAAAAATAGTACAAATGTATAATGGACATAATATATAGATATAATTACCTATACCTAAGGTTTTTATTTATAAAACAATCAATTTTATTCCGATTATTTTTACCATATTGAATGTATTTTGAATATTTGAAGTTTGAACTATTGTTAGGTATTTTCTACTACATTTGGTGCGCAGAGTTAAGAAATAAGGTATTCACAGCTTACACAAGCAGCGTGGACTTTAACAAAAACCTATGAAAACCTTTTTTTTTTTTTTTTCATTTATTAATTATAATTGTTTCAACAAAATGTTTGTTTTTACAATATGTTTTTACAAATTTTTAAATGTTTTTATATTATTCATACTTTTCAATTTTCATTATATAGAGTAATACAATTTGTACATTATTTTAGTTGTTTAGTTAGGTCATTGTTCTGATGATACCGATGATGAAGATGATTCTGTAGGTAGCAAGATATCTTGAGGTAGCCGTGGCTTTAGTCTGCAGTTTTTAGTTATTTCCCCAATTTTGAAGTGAAGGGCGCCTTCTGTTGTTTTTAGTTTCGTGTGAAATTTTTTAAATTGTTCAATTATCCATGTGTTTATGAAGGTATTCTGGTGTCATTATGCAGTTGTGTGTTTTACATGAACCATGGGCAGGTGGATTGCCTACCAGATTTGCCGTAGCAGAATTGGACAGGATTGCCTACCTAGGTGGCTAACTTGAAAGTTAATCGATTTTGACTTTAGATGACTGACTTGCTAGACACTCCAACATGGTTTACGAATTTACACTTTTTACATACGAAAAAGCACCGGACATGCGACGGCACATACCACTCTATCCGCCGCAGGCGGTTTGCTTATTTTGGTTTCGTCTTGACTGGTGATGACTGACTTGCTACACACTCTAACATGCAGGTTTTCAAATTTACATTTTTGTACACATACAAAAAAAGTTGCTCTGCTGTACTGTAGGTTATAAGTGGGTCACTGTTTAATGGATGGTATTTATAGAAAAAAAAACTAAAAACATCGAAAACTGAAAATGTCCGTAAACAGCTCAAAAAGAGTCAAAATATTTTCAAAACTTTATGGTGTATACGAAATGCTAATATAAACAACCAGTGAAAATTGCATGTATATACGTTCATTATGTTGTTTTTCCCGGCGCTTGTGAAAACTACTGGGAAATTTATACTTTTGACCCCCCAAAGTACCAACTAGATTCACTTTCCTACCAGAAAAGCTACTGATGAAGAAAATCCAAGCACTTTTACTGTCCTAAAACGTGATGACAGACACAAAAATATAAATAAAAATATAAAAAAAAACATACATCATTGTAAAACCAATACATTCATCGCTCCGCTCAGAATCTAAAAAAACACATCGTTGTAAAACCAATACATTCATCGATTCACTCAGAATCTAAAACACCGGACATACGTTAGGGGATATTATCATTGAATTTCCGATTTTCATGGGCCATGGGAGAAATCTAGACACTGAAACTCGACTTTCAAACTTTCCCGCCTTCGAAACGAGACCGCCAAAGAGCCAGGTATTACCACAACGTAACCAACCTAACCACACTGTCCGGTACACAAAGTTCCGTCAACCGGACGTAAGACGTATCCGTTTCCAAAACACCGTTGTCCGTTACAAACTATAAGTTAACTATATAAGTTTTTATTGACATAATTAACGTTAATATTTATTATAGGACAATAAAGTTATCGAACGCGTCAAATTGGTTCCAACTGAAGCTTACGTTTGTAACTTTAAAGACAAAGTTCTTGCATATGCGCTTTCTAGCCCTGATTATAATGTTCTTTTTAAATTTTTGCATAACATTTTATAGTTATTTATTAATTAATTTTTTGTAGATTTTACACATTTAGAACACGTTATACGCTGTGATAATGAAAGTACAAGCATATATAGACAAAGTTAGCAGGCGTAAAAGTGTAGTATGTATTCTATATATTTATAAATTGTAATTTATAGCAGATTTTGGGCCGCGGGTTGAAGACCCCTGTATTACAGTTTATTATTTTTTTTTTAGCCTAAAGAAGTCCAAGAAACAACAGTTTAAATTTTTCAATAATTATGAATCCAACTGATATCATTGATTTTAACTCTTTTTCTTTCCCAATGGAAAATGAAAGGGTTTTCGATAAAAATCTTCTGCAAACGGTAACTTAAGTTTAGATAACTATTACAATTATTTAGATTAATATAATCTGTATACAAACTACAAACTTCTAAAAACTGAATTTTTGTATATTGTCAATATTTTGTAGTTAATTGGTCTAAGAAAAATATATGATAACCCTAGAACATGATATTGAAATTTCAAGCTTTTTTTTTTACAAACAAACATTTACTAAACATTTATAAAAAATAAACTAAAATGTGTAAAAATATTATTAAATGTAACCAAAAAGTCAAAATGATTTGAAATGTATAATATATATAGAATACGAGTAGACATTTCAAGACTACAGTTAATTCATTTGTGAATTATAACAAACAAACAAAAACAATTTTGTCAAAATCTGGTTTCTTGTAAAACTCCTATGTTTTTTTTTGTTCTCAGATTCTTTTGAAACGTATTAGGAATATTTTACCTACTGCTAATTTTTACCAGAAAACACTTAAAGTTTAAGTTGAAGCATTTTTAGTTTTAAAAACACTAAAATATTAGTTTCTTCAAAATCTAAAATATATTTCAAATTATATTACAGTTTATTTTTTTTTTTTTAGAAAGAAGAAGTCCAAGAATATCTTGAAACATGTGCAGTTGACTTTGAAAAATCATCGCCAACTGGTATTCTACCATGTCAGTCTGAACTTGGTGGAAGTGCTAATTTTGAAGTGTTAATTGATTCCAGTTCCCAGTCTTTCAGACAAAAATGGATTGTATGTATAATGTTTATAATTAAAATTATCAAATATCAAAAATTCATGTTAATTAAGTAATAGTTCTAATTATTCTAAATTTATCTGCTCTAGTATTCAGTTACACTGCAAAAAGTTTTTATTGACATAGATAAAGTGCTTCTGTTAAATTTTAAATGTGATTATGACAATATTGACAGTAATATGCCATTATTTGTACGTGCTATGCCAATGTACAGTTCAGCAGATTACTTAAAAGTGCCGGTTAATCGTTGTCCTATTCATTTATCTTCTAAAAATCAGTTAAACAAAGGTAAATAATACAAAATATAATTTTTAACGGTTTTAATTAGATGTGAAATAATGAGTGTTCTATGATAAAAGTATCATCCGGTACACAGTAGATTCTTACTATGTCAAATATTGATATCTCAAATTATTTTCCATTCCCTTTGAGTTTTTACTATATTTGTTATACAGGTTGATTTTTATGCTTAAATTATGCATGTATTAAAATTCTGACTTGTGGAATTTCAAGAAAATTTCAAAAAATAAACTCCATGACTTAAATATAAAGGATTAAAAAAAAAAGTACAGTAGGTTACAAGTATTCTGAGCGGAGATGGTATGTCAGTGTAGGTATAAGACATATTATATACTTATCCATGGTATTAAAAAAAAAATATTATTATTAAAATATAATAGATACCTATAACAAAATTCCAAATTAATCATATCACAATATCCATTAGTTACATATAACGCGTTATACATCAACAGCAAACCCTGATACTATCATAGATATATAATAGTGTACTTTAGAAATTTCAAGTACCCACGAATAATATTATACAAACACAACGAAATAACTAAAATAGTTATTCTAGGTTTTTTAATGTAATTTTATCCAAATTTGAACTTAAAATGACTATAAAATAAACTGCGCGTATGCACTTTTTAGATTTTTAGGTAACAGAATAAACTACTTATGTGGAATATTGTTTTAAATTTTCAATCCTTAAATTTAAAAGTTGAACATATTATAAATTATTAACTACAAAATAATTATTCAATTTTAAATTTGATAAATTTTGTCAAAATTCGATCTTTAAATGCTTATAAAAAAAAATTGTGCCTATATATTTTAAATATTTTTCAACTGATATTGTAACAATATATCAGGAGCCTTGTATTAATGTTTTACACTCTTTGGCAAAACAGATAAAACTTTATTGATATTCATAGAAAAAAAAACTAAAAAAATTGAAAAATGAAAATATCCGTAAACAGCTCAAAAAGAGTCAAAATATTTTCAAAATTGTATGGTGTATAGGAAATGCTAATATAAACATTCAGTGAAATTTTCATGTATCTATAATTATTCGTTTATGAATAACAACAAAATAAGGAAATCGCTACATGAGAAATCGAGTGAACATCCAATGTTGTAAAAATTTGAATTTCAAACGCTCATAAAAATTTAATTTGACTGTCCGGTAGAGATTTTTTTATTGATAAAGGTAGACAAACTTACGAGTAATCTTGTATTACATTTTAAAATCTTAGATTTAAAAAGAAAAATTTTTACAAATTCTTAACTCAAAATAATTTGCTAATTTTCGTGATTTTTCCATATTTTGTCAATTTTTGAACTTTAAATGCTTATAAAAAAAAACTGTGACCAACGATTTTTAATATTTTTCATCTGCCTTTGAAACAATATACTAGGAGCCTTCTATTAAATTTTCAAGTTTTTTTAACCAACAAATGAAATTTAATTGATATTTCTAGAAAAAAAACTAAAAAAAAA